TTCACAGTTTTGGAGGCTAGAAGTCCAAGACCAAGTTGTTGTTGCCAAGTTTGCTGTCTTCTGAGGCCTCTCTCCTATGGTTGCTTTCTCACTGTGTCCTCCATGGTTGTTCCTTGATCTATATGCTGTATATCCTACTCTCTTCTTTAAACAAAAAGATTTTTAAAATTTATTTTTAGACAGAGAGGAAAGAGGGAGAGAGGGAGAGAAACATCAATGTGTGGTTGCCTCTCATGCACCCCCTACTGGGAACCTGGCCTGCAACCCAGGCATGTGCCCTGATTGGGAATCCAACCAGCTGGAAGGTTCAATCCACTGAGCCATACCAGTCAGGGTCCTAATCTCTTCTTATAAAAAGTCATATTGGATTGGGGCTCACCCGTATGACCTCACTTTACCTTAATTACCTCTTTAAAGGCCGTATCTCCAAACACAGCCACATTCTGAGGTACTAGAGGTTAGTCCTTCAATATATAAATTGGTGGGGAGGGCACAATTCAACCCATAACACAGTCTCATAGGGTTATTTTGAAAATTAAATAACACAATACACATAAAGCAAAGATCAGGAGCCTAGAATATTTTAAGACCTTAATAACTGTTCAACATAACTGACCACTTAACTTAGACATAAGCGTATTCAGCAAGTCACACATCTTTCTTTGGTAGGATGATATTGGCTGGATATGCCCTGGGGGCTTCTCTGATGATGCTCAGTCCAACATCATCTTTTAAAAAATATATGGAATGCTTCACAAATTTGCATGTCATTCTTGTGCAGGGGACATGCTAACCTTCTCTGTATTGTTCCAATGTTAGTGTATGTGCTGCCGAAGTGAGCACCAACATCATTTTTACCTTATAGTCGATAGTCCCAATCTTGACCCCACGACTGTTCCATTCTGGTCTGGCCAATCTCTTAGGACAATGAGAAGTTCTCAAATTTTCTTTCTGTAACTGCACTGAGGTTCGTCTTTAAAATGAGGAGACATTCTGCCCCAGCAGCTCCCAGCTCAGCAAGTGCCTTAATACATTGCTATTTCTACTCTTTGGGCAATCCACTTATTAAAATTTAATGACAACTGCATTTATAAAGCCATTTTCAGTTTACAAAGCTCTTTTCCATCCAGTATCTCTTTTAATCCTCACAACATCTGTAGGAAGGAGATTTTCTCCATTTTATAGATGAAGAAAATAGGGCTCTGAAGAGGAGCATCATTGTCCTGGGTCACACCATTGAACAGTGGCAGAGATGGGGCTCAAATTTTGGTCTTATGGTTCCAAGATGTCAGGAGTAGCTCATCTATTCAGGCATTCTTTTACAATATAAGCAATCCAGTATATCAGCCCTACTCTCTTTTTTCAGGGGAGATGTAGGTAAGTTGTTTGGAATTATTTCAATTGAAAGTGATAAAAAGCCAACTCAAACGGGCTTAAGCAAAAATTGAATTTATTGGCTCATCTAACAGAACAATCCAGAAGCAGGTCTTCAGGCTTGGGTGGATCTAGGTGCTCAAACTATTTCATCAGAACTGTCTCTCTCAACTTCTTAACTTCCTTCTATGTTCATCTTATTTTAAGACAAACTCTCTGCTTCAGATGTCAAAGCTAAAGCTTACAGTTCTCCAAGCTCAACAACCTCAGCAGAAAGAGAACACCTCTTTGTTGTTAAGCTGGAAATCATTCTCAACTATTTGTATTGGCATATGGACCCCACTCTTGAATCAATCACTGTGCATGCTATAATGGAGTATTTTCATTGCCCAGGCCTACTTATTTGCCCCCTCTCAGAAAAGTATGGTGGTGGTGATGGGGTAACTCTCACCAAACCCAGGGACTGAGTAAGGTAGAAAGGAGTTTCTTTAAAGAAAAAAAAATATTGATGTCAGAAGTGATTTGGGTGGTGGACACATCTCTGCATAGGGTTATTGTGACAATTAAATGAGACACCATTTAATGCTCTGTAGACACCATTGCTCTGCAGAGCTAAAATAGACAACCAGTGAGGAACTGGGGGCCCATCTTAGCAAGAATTCTCAATTCTTCCCTCTAGAGTAGTAAGGGAACTTCTATGGTAATTCTCCTGAACCGCTAACTTGGCTCAGTAGTATAGAGAAAAAGGCAGTAATTCATGGCAGAGTAAGAAGAAAAGCTGGAGCTTCTGGCTCCAGTAACTTGTGTTCGGAACAGTACCCAACCAGGAGTGCTTTGAGGCTTTGAGGTGCTCTTTGAGGATGACCAGTTGCCTGCATCCTCCTTTCAGTACCTTCTGTCTCTGCAATGAAGCTGTGAGTTCTGGAAGGGCAGGGACCATATCTGTTTTATTCACCATCTTCTCCCCATAGCAGGGCTTATCGCAAGCTTATCTCCTGGGTGAATAAATTCATGAATCAGGTTGATCAGCCTAATTGGCAGGATTATCCATCTCCCTGTATAAGTCAATCCCCCTCTTTGACCTTTTTCTCCATCTGTCAGGTGGGAGAGGGTATAGGATGAGACACTCTCCACAGCCACTTCTAGTGTATGATTCCAGTACCTTAGGGCTTTCAGGAGACAGACAGGATGCCCTCTGCAAGGAACCAGTGGCAGGTAACCAAACTTACTGAGCACTCTGTCCACAGGTGAGATGACCTCATGTGGGTCTGAGATCTCCAAATTGTGGGGATTTCATGCATATATATATATATATATATATATATATATATATATATATATATATATATATATATATATTGGGGGATGAAAATAGCACTGGCTTTTTTATCTTGCCAAAGAAGGACATTAAAAAGAAGGACATTAAAAGGACATTAACTATCATTGTCATTTCTTTTTAAAAGGGTGATTTTTACACTAAGATAGCAGGAAGTACATAATCTCAGGAAAACAACAACCAATCCCTTTTACCTGTGAAACGCACACACACTACAGATAGATGTTTATTTCATCAGACTGACCCCTGTTGAGGTCTAGTGTTTGGAACCCACTAGAACAGGTTATTTTTCAAACCCCCCTCCCACTTTTCTTGCTCGGGTTTAATCTGCCCACTCTACGGATGGAGGAACAGAGGCTCAGAGAGCACAAGTACAAGGTCATAGAGATAGCAAATAGTAGTCAGTTTGCTGGAGCGCCAACCCAGATCCCTTAGCAGATCCTAAACCAAAGCTATTTCCCTGTAGGGAAAGACATGACCCACCCCAGCGTTCTTGGGGTGCTCTAGGGTGTTCTTGACCTCACCTTGAGCCTGGATTCGGATGCTTTGTTATTCATGATGTGCCCACTTCATGCCAGGCACTGAGGAAAGTGTAGGGAGGGTAACCAAGGCGTTCCCAGCCTCGTCTCCTGTCCCCTGATACTCACCTTGGGTCCTGTGCTTTGCGCTGGCAGCCAATGAATCCCCACCACAGGCATGGGCTGCTAACGGTTTAGGGGGTTCCCTCTCCTAGGGATATTGGCAGTTTCCTAGGAGACTCTGGGAACCTTCAACGCCTCCAAGACCCAAAGGACTGGAAGCGTGATGGTGCAACTTGAGGCACTGTGATAGGCTGCGAGGAAGGTAATTTGGGAGGAAGAGATCAGTTTAAACCCTATCAAGTAGTACCGCGTTCGGCGCCTCCCCCATTCCCATGGACTTTGCAGGGACCCACAGTTCCACAGCTTAGGCTGGAAGAAGGGAGTCCCCCAAACCGGAGGGCCCTATTGTGGAGGGGACTTACTGCTCTAGCTGGGGCGCGCTGGGGACCGCGCCACCCTTCCCCCGTTCCGCCCATCCCCTCCTGCCCCAGGCGGGAGCGAGCTTCCGCGCTGCCGCGCCAGTGCGCGGCACCCGCGTTTTGGCGCGGGAGCGCGCCCCGTGGAGAGCCCGAGCAAGATGGAGGCCGCGCGGCGGCCGCCGCCTGGGCCGAGGCAGCTGCTCCTGGGAGCGCCGAGCTGCGGCGCCTAGGTTGTGCCAGTGCCGGACCCGCTGCCCGGACCGGGCCCAGGTTGGTCTCCCCGCACCCCCTCCCCGCGGCCGCAGCCTCCGTGCGCGTCCGGCCTGGGCGCGGGGCAGCCGCCCCCCCACCCCCGGCCCTGCCCGGGCCCGGCGGCTCTCCGGCTCCCAGGGACAGCTCCCGCCCGCCGCCCGACCCTCCCGGCCCAGGCGGCTCGCCGGCCCCGGTGCCTCGTCCCCTTGGCCTGCAAACCGCTCTTCCCAGCCCGGGCCCGCCAGTCCTAGGCTCCCTCCCAGCCCACGTCCAGCCCCATCCAGCCCCGGCTTCTGAGCGACCCCTGGAGACCCCCGCGCGCCTGGAGCCCGGAGCCGCAGCCCAGCCCCCGACTCCGCTCTGGCCTCACCCAGATCCCTGCACGTCGCCTTCCCAGACCCTCAGGCCACCCCGATACCCCGTCCCAGCCCCCATATCACCTCCCCGACCCCCAACCCCTAGTGTCCCCTCCTTAGCCTCTCGTAGAAGCGCTTGCCCCCTCTCCACAGTCCTTTTCTAGACCCCCAACACCAGACCTCCCGCCCCTCGCACCAGCCCCCAAATTCCCTTCCCAGCTCCCTGCACACAGCTCCTCTGCTAAGCCTCCAACACCGGTCCCCAGACTCCATTCCATCTCCGCACGGTCCCCTCCTCTCTGCCCACCCCCCCCCCAATTCCAGCCCCCAAGCTCCTTCCTCAACTCCCCCGTGACTACTTTCTGGCCCCTCCACTGCAGCTCCCCTGTCCTCACCACAGCCCCCTCACCCAGCCCCCCAACTTTCACATGGCCCCTTCCTGAGTCCCCAGCTGGAGATCTCTGCCCACAGACACCAACCCGGCACTCTCGTGACCCTTAGCTAGCTTCCCCAACGCAGTCCTCGGGTCTCCCCAGCGCTGCCCGCCCCAGGTCTGGCCTTCCCGAGTTCCTCGGCTCAGGGCGGCTTCTCGCGTGCGTCCCCAGCTCCCGCCCGGCAGCCCCGCGGTCGGTCCCGGGCCGGTGGCCCCTGCCAGCCGCCGCCGGCCCCGCCCCCGGGCACCATGCTGCCCTCGCAGGAGGCCTCCAAGCTCTATCACGAGCACTACATGCGGAATTCGCGGGCCATCGGCGTGCTATGGGCCATCTTCACCATCTGCTTCGCCATCATCAACGTGGTGGTCTTCATCCAGCCCTACTGGGTGGGCGACAGCGTGAGCACCCCCAAGCCTGGCTACTTCGGCCTCTTCCACTACTGTGTGGGCAGCGGGCTGGCGGGTCGCGAACTCACCTGCCGCGGCTCGTTCACCGACTTCAGCACCATCCCGTCCGGCGCCTTCAAGGCAGCCGCCTTCTTCGTGCTGCTCTCCATGGTGCTGATCCTCGGCTGCATTACCTGCTTTGCGCTTTTCTTCTTCTGCAACACGGCCACGGTCTACAAGATCTGCGCCTGGATGCAGCTCTTGGCAGGTAGGGGAGGGGCGGGGACGGGACATGTAGAACGCGAGCCGGGGACGGGAGTTCCTTCCTTCTAGGACCCTTTCTTGGAGGACTCAGAGACAGATTCTGCTCCTCTGTCCAAAGACACACCTCCTTGGTTGCCCCTCAGCAGCCACTCGTGGTGGCAGGAGGATTCTATGAGAGAGACTCTCTGGGGCAAGGGTCATAGACCTAGAACTGGGTCTTGGGGGCTGTGTGGTTGGATATGGGCAGACTGCATTCACTGATGGGCTAGCATTATGTCAAGTCTCTGAGGGTCCCTGAGACTCTTTGGGCTGTTTTAGGGGAAATAACTATTATAATGAGGGGTTAATCTAGGTGTGAAAAATGTTTTTTTTTGTTTTTTAGAGAGAATGAGAGAGAGAAACGTCGATGTGGTGTTTCATTTATTTATGCATTCATTGGTTGCTTCTTGTATGTGCCCTGACCAGGGATCCAACCCGCAACCTTGGAGTATTGATGCTCAAACCAACTGAGCTACCCAGCCAGGGCAGCAATTGTTGTTGTATTGAAAAAAGCATGAGATGGGGACTCAAGAGATCTGACTTTGACCTTTAACTTTCCGACATCATCAACTTGGGTGTTTCACTTCTCTGAGATTTGGTTTTCTTATCTATAAAACAGTGGAGAGGATTCCAAGAACAAATGGGTGTATCTTGTAAACTTTGAAGTGCTGTGCTAACCTATAGGAGGAGGATGTCTATAGTGTCTATTCAGTGTTTGAAATGTGAGTGGTTGACAGAACCTGGCAACTTGGGCCTCCACTGGACTGATCTTCATTACCTACCCTCACCCAATGCAAGAAGGAGGGTTCTGGTGCTATTCCCAAATGGGAATGAGTTCCTGGGCCCCTCTGAAATGTTGGCTAATACAGACATCTTACCCAAGAATCACAAAAGGGTCTTTTGGAATAAAAACTGCTGAGACAGTTTTCCAGGATCCATTAGAGTCCCCCATGCCTGTCTGCCTTTCGATCAAAGACAGATTTTGAAGGTTCAGCAAGTTGGGCATTTGCCTGATTGCAGGCAGGGAAGAGAGTTGAGCCGGGGAAAGTGGGGCCAGAGGATGGGGGAGGAGGGCTGATGAAGGCTAGGAAAAAGTTTGGAGCCCCCAGGGGTGAGATAGAGAAGGGAAAACGTGATGATCATGCAGCAGACATGGTTTTTCAAGTAAGTACCTCAAAGTATTCAACAAGTGTTGGCCTCTTCAAAAGAACCTCCCTGGAGGAGGTGTTATATCATTTGTTGATTTTTCTCTTGCTGAAAATATTGTAGGGAATTATGTTTGGAGCATGAGGTATATTCTCTTGAAGGTCATCATTAAGGAGAAAACCTCCATCTTTTTTTTTTGGAGAGTACATTTATTAAAGCTGGGGACAGTGAAATAAGGAAGGGCTTAGAATAGAAGAAACAACAGGAGAGGAACTAGGTGGGGCTGCTCTCACTCTCTAGAAGTGTTACAGGAAAGAAATGAGCCTACATGGAGCTTCTTTGGCTCACTGAAGAGTCAGAGAAAAGACACCTTGGAGACAGGTTCAGGGGGTTAGCCTGAGATGAGCTGCCACTGCCCATGTCTCCTCTGGTTACAAGTCTTGTGGGATCCCTTCGAGAGGGAAGAAGAGGCGGAAGTGAAAGGTACAGGCATGCTCCCAGGAGGGAGAGTGCACTGAAACCTCCATTTCTTCAAGGAAGATTATGATTTTTAGAAATGATGGAAAGTCACTCAGGGCCAAGTGTAGGAAATATGACGGGTGATCAAATTGACAATTGTCACTTGGGATGAAAGCCAGGGTGTGAGGGCAAAATCATGAAGTTGGTTTGCTTCCCAAGAGGACTTCTACAAATGCAGGGAGGAATTACTGTACCATTGGAAGAACTGCCCAAACTCCCAAAAGAAATCATTTGAAGAAGACAGTGTTTATTCAGATGTGGACTTTCTCATGGGCATGTTTCACTCCATTCAACTTAGATATGGGTCTTTTAGAATCTTTGAAGAAGGTGAGAAAAAAGAATTGTAGGATACGGGCCATATCTCTCCCTATTTCCCAGTGGTACCCAGAAAGTGATTTTATGTATTTCCATTCTATTCTCCTTCCAAAGGCAAGTTGGAAAGAATATGCCCAGTTGGAACCCCCAATTCCTCAGCCTTAGTTTGGAGCCTGCAGATGGGTTGCTGACCTCTTGGCCTTTTAATTCTCTGTAATCCATATGGATTTAATCTTGGGGGTTGGATGAACTGTTCAACAAGCTCCATGCATTTATAAAATTTCAGGGATCTTAGAGATCGGCTCCTTCAAACACCACCTTCCCCTGCCCCCAGAAAACTGAGCCTAGAAAAGTTACAATCTTATATAAGTCACATAGCCAGTAAGTGAGTAAACTAGCCCAGTGCTCCTTCCTTGTGTTGCTGTCCCATCCCTGAGGGCTGTTATCAGAGTTGAGCAATTTATTCCATTTTGCTTAGAGATTTCTGAGATCTTTTGGTAAGAAACTGATACTTCTTGCTTAATAAAGTGACACCAGAATAGAAGCCAGAGCACTGGACTATGAGTCATGGTCTTGGCTGATGGCCTGTGACTTACCATGCAGTGTCAAGCTATTGTTTTTAGCTTAAATCTCAATTTTCTCACCTGTACAAGATGGGGAGCTAATCAATTAGATTAGTGGACTTGAAGTATCTCTTTCCACCCTGTGGTGCTCCTAGAAAAACTCTTTCACCAACATCATTCCATTCAGAAAGTGAGAAATCATTCTTCCTCAGAGAAACTGCAGAGAAGCAAAGGGACTTTTTGTTTCAGATAAGATTTAGAATGCTTATTGCATGTTTCTTGTTCAAGTGAACTTTTATTCAAGTATTTTAGAGTCTCCCAAGTGCAGAACACTGGACCTTTGAAAAAATACAAAGAGATACTTATTCCTTTGTTCCTCACCTGCTTTGTTATCCTCCTTAAGCCAGGTGCTGCAATGCTGAAATCATCCCTGTCCATAAGGATTTTAAGTCTATAAAATGCAATCCCTGCTCACAAAAAACTTACCATTTTATTGGATCACTATATTGGTCAGCAGTCTTTCAGTGGTAAGTGACAGAAATCCAACTCAAACTGGCTTGAATAGATTAAAATAAAGAGTGTAGTGTTTTTAACTCACATAACTTTTTAAAAAAATTTATTTTAATTGTTGTTCAAGTACCTCACATAACTTAAAAGTCAAGAGTATCTGACTTCAGGCATGAATGCATCCAGATGCTCAAATAATGCCATTCAAACATCTCTCTCTCCATTTCTTGGTTCCTCTGTGTTGGCTTATTTTTAAGTTCACTTCTCTCTTGAAGGTGATAAATATGACTACTAGTGACTCTGAAATTGCATTGCTATAGCTTAGCAATACCTGTTGAAAAAGAACATCTGTTACTCAATGGCTTCATCAAAAGTTCCAGGGCTGATTCTCATTGGCTAAGCTTTGGTCAGATGTGCATCTCTCTCTCTCTCTTTTTTAAAGATTTTATTTATCTATTTCTAGAGAGGGAAGGGAAGGAGAAAGAGACAGAGAGAGAAACATCAATGTGTGGTTGCTGGGGGCCATGGCCTGCATCCCAGGCATGTGCCCTGACTGGGAATCGAACCTGCAATGCTTTGGTTCGCAGCCCATGCCCAATCCACTGAGCTACGCCAGCCAGGGCCAGATGTGCATCTCTTAATTAATCAGTGTGATTTTGTCTAAGACTTCAGCCACATCCCCACCCCTAGAACACATGGACTAATAGTGCAGAAAGGTCAATTCTTGCAAAGGGAAGTCAAATGTAACCACTGGAAGAGTGTTACTCTAGGTAATACATGTGCAGACAGAAGTGGAAACTCAGGGCAATCAAAAAGGCTATGGGCTTAGTTGGAAGGTGAGGCTTGAGTGGGCAGGGTGTAGATAGGCATTAGGTGTGGGAAAGTATTCTGAATGAAAAGGAGGATCATGGGCAGAGGCACAGAGGTGAAAAAGCCACAATGGGATTCAGTGTGACATCTACATAAGGGAACAATGAGTGGAGAAGCCAGGAAGCAACAATGGGGCCACACTATGCAAGGCTCTCAATACTGAGTCAATGAATTTGGACTCTAACTCTAATCAGTAGGCAGTTTGAAATTGCTATGACTGTTATTATTATTCAGGAAAAATAGTTAACATTTTCTAAGCCTGTACTATAGGCTAAACCATTTGCTAAACATTTACATGCATACTATCATCTAATCCTATGGAGTCGATGCCATTATTGATATTTTATACATGAGAACACTGAACCTTAAAGAGTAAAAAGTCATTTGTCCAAGGACACACAGGTGGTAAGTGGTGGAGCCAGGATTATAACAGTCTTTCTGACTCTAAAGCCCTTGGGTTTATTAAGGAGCTTTAACGGTAAAGATCATGGCAGGATTTACTTGCCAGAAGAGTTGAAAGCAAAGTAGAGAGGCTGGAAGACCCAGGTGACTCTATATGGAGTTAGGGGTCAGGTTTTCAGGACTTCTCAGGTCATCTGTGCTAACTTTGACCTGATCTCTCCCATTTACTGAGAACATACAATGTGCCAGCTTCTGTGCTAGACATTTTCACATTCATTATGTCATTTAATCTTCATCTGTTAAAGTGACTTGCCCAAAGGTCACACATCTAGTGAAAAGTGGAGCTGAAACTTAACACAAGTCCAAAAGGATATAGGACCTGCTCATACCACTGAACGGGGACCCTGGAAATGAATATACAAATTATGAGTTATAGCTGTAAGCTCTATGTGCTCGGTGTTTACCTGTGGGCTGGGTGAGTTTAGCCAAAGGGAGATTGCTGTCTGGAGTAGACCACCAGGTTGGAAGCCTGGTTGAGGGTCTGAGGAGGCAGTGGTTGAAGGACAGAGGACTTAGAATTCCTGCTCTGCCACTTCCCAGCTGTTTGGTCTTGAATAAGTGGGTTTTCCTCTCTGAGTCTCTG